TGTACTCCTTTCTTGTTGAGGTGTATGTAGTCATACATATGATGGGGCCGAATGTCTTTATGGTAAGCCAGGTGAACATTTGAAATGAGTGCACAGGCTCTGGAGAGTTGTGCATTGTTTCCATGGATCACGTGAAGAGGCACATCACTCCGTGGCAGTAACATGGACAGAGTTATTTTAGCTTCTGGGAAGCGTTATAAGGCTCTGAGGGCCACCTTTCTGAGCACAGGAGCCACGTTGCCCTTCGCTGCCCGTAAGTCATTAGTCCCTGTCTGGATTATGATGTGCTTGTAAGTTTCATTCAGATTTGGACACCACATTTTCTGTGCTTTCATTTTTGGAAACAAGAGTTTCTCATTAATATATTTTCCATTGGAGTCGATGAGAATAAGAGCTTCTGTTTGGGTGGGGTTGGGTGGCACAGTGCTGTGGGCTTTGGTCTGTGGATCTGATGAAGAGTGAGGCTCATCCTATGCAGGTGATTGCTGATTGTCAGTGGGGGTCTCTAGACAGGTCAGGTGTTTAGCGTGAGATCCTTTGGACGATGAAACATGAAGAAGTTATTCCTTTATATTATTTATAAGTTCATCCTTGTGTTGAAGATTTCAACACAGACAGTTCTTCCTGCATTTCTGTTTTAATTTCTGTTATCTGTCTTCTGAAAGTTGATTTGAATTCCTTCAGCTCTTCTCTAGCTTGGTGAAGTTCCTTTGACATCTGTTCTTTGTTTGTCTGCAGGTATTCAGTCTCTTGTTTTAAATTCATCATGTCCTTTTTAAGCTGCTCCAAGTTGCTGTTGTCTTTTAGCTGGGACATTATTAATTATTTTAGCTTCACCATATCTATTTCCAGGAGTGAAAATGTATCTATAATTTTTGACATGGGAGATTGAATTTAAGGCTGTTGCAGATGTTGTCTTCTTTTGGATGTCTTTTACAGCAGAAGAGTTTGTATTTATATCTTTATGATCCTGCATGAAACTTGTATTAAGATGTGCCTGCTGTTTAATTTGTATAAAGGCAACTGCAAATGCTTGGAGGGCAGGCTCCGAGCCTTGGATCATGACAGTGCCGTTGTGGTAGAAGTTCAGAGATAAAATTCTTGATTCCTCATTTCCTTCAGCATCTTCAAATACCAGGATCTGTCTGCCTTTACAGATGCCTCTTTTTGTGGTGAAGGTGAAGTGTTGGCAGAAAGCATTATGCCATAAGGAGCTGTTTTCAGTGTAGAAGAGCAGGTTGGACATTGAACTATGCGTCATAGTCAGCAAACAGTGCTTCAGGATTGTCCTTGATCTGTTTCTGCCTGTGGAGCTGTTTAGAATGCTCAGAGCTTTTCTGAGGGTACACAAAGGGTGGGGCCTGCATGCTGCAGCGGCCATCACTGGTTTTCGAATGTAAACAAACAACTGAAAAAAATGGTCTCTTTGTTTGTTTTTGAGAGTTCTTCTGAATATTGATCAAAATGTCCACAATATTAAAATATTGATCAAAACCAGTGCATAGACTGTAAAAACAAGATCAAAACGACCATCTTCATTGACACTGCTGTATGAAAAAACATCCAAAATATTCTTCCTGAAGTAAATATTGCTGATTGTTTCAAAAGTGCTTTCCTTACTTTCTGGGACTCTTCCTTATTCGTTGATGATTGATGTTTGATATCCTCCTTTGTTTCTCTGAGGTTTTAGTCCATGGATAAATTCATACAGGCCTTGGTCTGAAGAGAGGTCTTCTCTCTGTGACAGTTGTGTGGTCCTTTGGGTCTTCTGCTGTCTTTCTTGGTTGATTTAAACTCTTCTTGTGGCTAATATAAGTTGTACGAAGTCTTATTGTTTTAAATTTGCCAGAACTGAATGTCTGTCTTATTTTAAAACAATATTAAAAGTAAAATAATCAGGAGCTCATCTTGTTGCTGCTGCTGCTCTATGGAACTCTCTCTCTCTCTCTCTCTCTCTCTCTCTCTCTCTCTCTCTCTCTCTGTTTTGTGCCATTGATCATTGTCGTCATCCTTAATAAATAAAACCTTTATTCTTGCTTGGGTGTCGGCGGTGAATCCAGTGGAGAGAAACCCCCACCACTAACTGCAAACTGGCATCTTAGATCTGCCTCCATTTTGTTGGCAACGCCCCAACTTCCAAAGATCCAATCAATTCCCGAAGGACGAAATCAAGTCCCGCCCTCTCATTTCAGATGCCGTTTCACACGGATATACGTCACAGTAGAGAAGAAAAGACAATTGCAACTTCCATTTCATGTCGACTTTAATGTCGATCATGGATCAAATCGAATATATCTGTGCTGTTTAATGCATTTGAGACATTGTGTTTTCCTCAGTGCATAACTGACATGTCACCAGGTATATATTTTTTTTATCTGTAAATGTCAGAAAGTCACGCAAACATATTCATTTTACTGTCAGGAGTGGGCGAGGCTGACATGAGTGAACGAGCGCTGCTGCGCGCATGCACGCTGAACAGACAGAGCACAATCAAATAGGAGCGCAATAATTCTGAGTAAAATATACATTTAGCTCAAATATTTGTTGTTGGACATTAAATGTGTCTTTTGTAGAATTTTAAACCTAAATATAAGTGTATTTTTATGATAGCAGTAACTTTAAAGGGACTATTGTAATAGGTAAATCAAATGTAAGCTAGTTCAGTACTAATTACTAAGCTCAAATTAGTTAATGTGTGTTTCTTATAGCAGTTTAAATATAGTCATTTTCTTTATTATTTATTTTCATCTTTAATTCAGTGATCTTAACTTTTAATTTAGTTATTTTAATGCTTTAAAGAGCAATTTTAGATTGTAATGTTCTAATATTCTGCTATCTGTTCTGCAAACTATAAAAGGTACAGCTGTCATAAAACCAGCGAGAAAGGCTGCATGGCTCCCCTCTCTCTATCTCTCTCTCTCTCTCTCTCTCTCTCTCTCTCTCTCTCTCTCTCTCTCTCTCTCTCTCTCTCGCTCTCTCTCTGTTTTGTGCCATTGATCATTGTCGTCATCCTTAATAAATAAAACCTTTATTCTTGCTTGGGTGTCGGCGGTGAATCCAGTGGAGAGAAACCCCCACCACTAACTGCAAACTGGCATCTTAGATCTGCCTCCATTTTGTTGGCAACGCCCCAACTTCCAAAGATCCAATCAATTCCCGAAGGACGAAATCAAGTCCCGCCCTCTCATTTCAGATGCCGTTTCACACGGATATACGTCACAGTAGAGAAGAAAAGACAATTGCAACTTCCATTTCATGTCGACTTTAATGTCGATCATGGATCAAATCGAATATATCTGTGCTGTTTAATGCATTTGAGACATTGTGTTTTCCTCAGTGCATAACTGACATGTCACCAGGTATATATTTTTTTTATCTGTAAATGTCAGAAAGTCACGCAAACATATTCATTTTACTGTCAGGAGTGGGCGAGGCTGACATGAGTGAACGAGCGCTGCTGCGCGCATGCACGCTGAACAGACAGAGCACAATCAAATAGGAGCGCAATAATTCTGAGTAAAATATACATTTAGCTCAAATATTTGTTGTTGGACATTAAATGTGTCTTTTGTAGAATTTTAAACCTAAATATAAGTGTATTTTTATGATAGCAGTAACTTTAAAGGGACTATTGTAATAGGTAAATCAAATGTAAGCTAGTTCAGTACTAATTACTAAGCTCAAATTAGTTAATGTGTGTTTCTTATAGCAGTTTAAATATAGTCATTTTCTTTATTATTTATTTTCATCTTTAATTCAGTGATCTTAACTTTTAATTTAGTTATTTTAATGCTTTAAAGAGCAATTTTAGATTGTAATGTTCTAATATTCTGCTATCTGTTCTGCAAACTATAAAAGGTACAGCTGTCATAAAACCAGCGAGAAAGGCTGCATGGCTAGAAACTGTAAAAAAAAAAAAAAAAAAGTCAAATAATAGTATGTGAGAGAGAAGTAATATCATTGTGTTCCTATTGGTTAGTGTTAGAGGAACTCCGCTTAGTCTGACAGTTAACCTGCTTTAGGCCAGCTTGATCTAGGCCCATGTTAAATTTGCTTTATAGAACTAAATCATTTGTCAATGAGTCAGACTAACTGAAATAAGCCTTATGAAACAGACCTCGAGGCATTAAAAGTGATCATATTTTCTCCATTGCATGATATTGCATCTAATTGCATTGTTTTGAATCTAATCGAAATCGGATCGCACTGCATCGTAACGGGTTAATCGTACCAAATCGTATCGCATTGGTAGCTGGACAAAATCCACTGGAATTTGAGCAGTGAGTGGAGTCTAACTTCAATGCCTCTGATTGGCCATTGCATTCATGACATTAAACAGATATGTCTGTGATTGGTTACATTACTCAAGGCAAAACACACTGGACATAGAAAACTCCCCGGAGCGCAAACACAAATATGTGCACTACTCATTGGCAAATCTGTTTCACCAATATGTTATTGTTACGACTTCAACTGAAACTGCTTACCTCTATCACTTCCGTAAATCTAGGCCTGCTAGAAGGATTGCTTCGCTTTGAAAATTCTGCCTGAAAAGGTGTTATACTGCAGAAATCATAGTCTGAGAATAAAGAAACTGTTTTTATCTTAATAATGATCTAGTGATACGCACTTGATTCAGAAGATGGCTTAGAAACACACTGCCGGGCCTATTCCACATCTACTGTTGCCGCACATGCACAATGACCATAAAATTGGCACAAATGAGTGAGAATTTATATTTCCTGCTTCTAGCTGCCTTTTTAGTATATATATTGTTTGTTTGTTTGTTTATTTCTTTCTTTACACCAATCCAGCATCTATGGCTATATTCATGGCAAGAACCAGTTAATCCATACACAAGTCTTGTCTTTACACACACATCCGGGGACAGTTTAGAATCTTCAGTTAACCTAACTTGCATGTCTTTGGGTGGAAACTGGAGCACCTGGCGTAAACCCACATGCAAACTCCACATAGAAAGGCCTCCTGTCCTTGCCGGGGCTCGAACCGGGGCCATGTGTATATATATGTATATATATATATCTGAATAAACACAAAACTCATCATCGTTGTCATCTGTGTTACTCTGTGTCACCTGTGTGTAAATCTGCATTTTTTTCTGTTTCCAGCATTCCTTACTACTCTAATGCTTGGTTCAGATGATGATGTATGGACTGGATTGAATGATGTCAATTGGGAGATGAGATTTTTGTGGACCGATGGTAAAGGTGTCACCTACATAAACTGGGCCAAGGGTCACCCTTCATCACACCCAGATGGGCCTTCCAAGATGTATGGCTACTTTGAATCAGAGGCAAGTATTCACACCATATTGCTGACAAATGCTATTCAGTGTCTATAAAGATTACCACAATCATCAGCTTCTCATTTGAGATAGATGTTTATGCTGAATTTATACAATATTTACTGTTCACACTAGTGTTAATTTCGTTAACAAAATTTATATATATATATATATATATATACAGTGGGTACGGAAAGTATTCAGACTGATGTTCACTGAAGTTTTCCGTATCTTTTTCCTGTGTCACTTGAAATGTTTCCGTTTTGAATCGTTGTTACAGAGACACGTGAGGAAAAAATAAACGATCAGTTGTGGGACTATATTCTGTCATAAATCGCATACCATTAATTGCTGAACTTTCTACTGTCCGTTACTGGAAATTAAATTAAATTACTGGTTGATATGTCCCGATCTAAATAAAGTTTACACACGCTTTTGGTCCGTGAATTAGATCTCGCTCAGGACGCGCGCTGTCTGTGGAGGTTTGGCCAGGACCGGTTCCAGAATTAAATCAACATATTTTATGTTCCGTCCATTGCCAATCACTGCTATTTCGAGAGTGAATCCCGCATAAATATGCAGATGTCATTCCCGAAACTTTGCAGGGTGTAGCCTATGTGTCCGAAAAACGAAAGTTTCATACAAATTCTGAATGGATTATACCCTAGAAAGTGCGCAAAGCATGCTCCATTTATCACTAAAAAGTGTCACTCATCTTCGTTCATCGCGATCGTACAAAGTTCCGTTATTATCAATGAAGCTCTCTAAACTGCACAATGAATCTCTTATTTACATCGTGTCTGCACTTAGTCATGAGATGATTCACAAGCGTGCAAAACTGCACTTAAAAACTGCGGCGCTTTCAGCAGAGAGTGAATTCTGACAAAACATTTCTGATTGGCCATTGCATTTAAGAAATCCACAGATATGTCTGTGATTGGTTACATTGCTCTATGCTGCAAAAACACTTTGAGGGTATTTAGCGCTTGGCTAAGCGCTCCAATTGACCAATCGGTAAGCTCCTCCCCTCGAATGCAGATGAGCCAATGGCAGTCGAAAATCAGTTGCATGGGGTGCGAAACTCAGTCATCTTTAGGTTTCAGCGCCATAGAGAAACATTGGGAGATCCGAAGCTCGCATCGGTTTAATGGTGTTGATGCTACAAAAATGGAAAAACGATGTGCCTAGTTAACTTGTAACACTAATTCCAATTATCCTGAGAGGATAGGCAATGTAATTTATTTTATTCCATTTCCTAAATCCAACCAAAAGAGAGCAAAATGTCCCTAAGCATTTAACCCCAATCACAATGACGAAAACGTTCATTTTCTGGTTGTCATACTCTCATTAAGTTACACTTTTCATCTGCTCAAGCAGAACGTTAATGTCATCTTGTGCTTCAGCAATGTATCTCTGGGTAAAACTAGCTAACGTTAGCGTTAAAGTTAGTGAGTCCATGCTAATGTACAAACCTAAATAGCGAACTGTTCTCACGTCATGTCCTGTGCAGTGAAAGTCAAAAACACATAAACGAATACTATTAAATGTAAATTAATTTAATCTTACTCTGCGGTATTAGAATGGTGTTGGTCCGGGATGTTGTCATTGCGATCGTGATGACCGTAACATAATTCTCCCATTTGCATTGTGATCTGTATTTTTACATATTTATTTTAATATATTTTATATATCCCTCCATGGCATATTTAAATCCCACTTGAAGATCAGTCTGTGTCCCAAATTTATCAGAAACACCTCGGGAGACGGTTTTCACTGACAGCTGTCATTGTAAGACAGTGAGCAACTCTGTTTGTTTGTCCAAGTGAGCAACAGTAACTAAGGGGGCGGGGCTTACAGGGATTCCATGACTAACAACTTGCCGCCAATGTCGCCCATGTCTAAGGGTGTACTCAGACACTAGGCGTTTTGAACCGTGCCCGAGCACGTTTGACCCCCAGTGCCCGGTTCGTTTGACTAGTGTGATTGCTCCCTACTGTGCTTGGGCGCTGTTCGTTTAGCCATCCCTGGCTTGCTTGGAAGAGGTGGGCCAGAGCACAGTTCAGTTGGGCTCGGGCGTGGTACGCATGTTGTGTATTATCTCGTACATGACGTAAGCGTGCTCTGGCCAGGAATGTTTAGTGCAAGTGCGAGTGCAGGCCAGTGGGCGAGTGGGGAGGGGGGATAATAGTGCTCGGCCTCGTTTCAAGGCAACCATGCCTAGTGTGAGTACACCCTAAAAGGATCATAAAAAAGGTAGACGTTTTTTTTAAGTAAAAATTGGCCAAGGACCACTTTTTAGTCCCAGCTGACCCCTGCTTTTGCAAACTCTGCTCTGCTTTTGGAGTTCAAATGCTTTTGAACTCCTTTTTTATGTTGATATAAAGTGGTTGCATATTGTTAAAACTAATCGTGGTATTGATAACTTTGTAGGACTGTTGACTGACTCTATAGATCAGTGCGTGGTAAGGGAAAGCAGTTATAAAGAAAATGCAGCGCGTTGCATTCTTCTGACCTCATTTGCTTGCCTGTATATAGTTCGCATAATCATCAATAAAGTGAATTCTGAGATCTGAGGTCTTTTTTATATCACTGTATTAGTTCACTGAGGCACGTTATGCTCATTGGGGAATCCTGGAGTGTGAAGTATGAGGGGGAACCCCAGTATTGCAGCACAGCATCACACAATGATACAACCGGAAACTAAGCAACCGAAAGCAATATATGCCTTCCTCAGATGTAATGTTAGTTCTGTACTTCAGCGTTGGGTAAAATAGCATTATAATCTTCTTTGTGGTAGAGTAAGCTGCTTACATGTAAGCTACAGGAAACAGCAAGATGATGAATTAAACATACACACAATCAGCTTTTCCACATGTGTATACTGGCCCTGATTATCATAACTTCTACTTACCACTTGCTCCATTTCTGCAGATCAGTTTTTGTGAATGAATGATTTGATCCACCTGTTGCTGTGGTCTTCATCAACAGCCGCTTGCGCCACCTGCTGGTGAGCGACTGACAGCAGCTGGAGATCATGCATCGGAGCTCTACTGCTATTCCTGCAGCTCCCGGATGTGCAATGGCGAATTTTCTGTCGAATTTTAACCACTGAATTTGTGGAAGCGAATTTGGAAAGTAAAATACAATTGACCGAAATTTGCCTATCGAATATTATACATCGTATTTTTAAACAGATTTAATATTTTGGAAGTCAATTCTGGAAGATGAATATGAAATATTGAATATTTAATTATAAAAATGTGTGTGAAATATTTTGTATTGAAATATTCACAGCTTAAATAATCAACTATGTTACATTTCAGGACCTAAAATGCAAGCACTGGAAATACGAGGCATTAAAATGCAAGCACGATTAATGCAATACATTATTTTTTCAGTTAGTGCTAATCAACATGCTTTTTTGTTTCAAAGACTTATGGCATTATTTTGCTTCCATAGTCTGTATACATAAAGTGTATAATTGGAACACAGTCCTTGATGGAGCTGACGAGCTGATGATCTAAATCAGGCGAACGAGAAATGCAGAGCGTGTGCAGAGCAGGGGGACACGAGGAACAGGATTAGAACATTGATTTGGAAAGTTGTGAATCCATTAGAATCATTAGAAGACTGAATTGTGATTCATATATGAATGGATTTTTTTCACGCACACCCCTAGTTTTGACTGCATGGCAACAACTCTTCCTCTTCTCTAAAGCAGCACAACATGGCCTCGCCCCCTTTGTTGCATGTTCCCGGGGACGGGTTTATGTAAATTTCAGGGTTTGTGATGTCACCAACCTGGGAAGTAGCTCGTTGTAGTCCCTACGAGCCATATTTAAAGGCGTTAAACTGCCATAATTTTAAGACAATTTCCCCATTTGCATTGAACTTTCAGTGTCGTAACTTTACAGATATTGTTTATGCTCAAACAGCAACATTACACAGTAACTAAAGTTCAAAATGTTCACAATCAACCACCCCTTTAGTAGAAGCCTTGGGGGGCATTTAACTGTGCACAGAATAGACTCATTGATCGCCGAGTACATCTGTAGAAGTGCAGAAGTGTAGTAGTGGGAGAAGTGTAGTGGGGAGACCACACATCCTTCGGGGTGCCAGTTCTGATGGTGCAGGTGTTAAATGTGAATTTCCCAGCCTCACTAGCTGCTGCCTGTCTGTCAGGAAGTTGGTGATCCACTGACAGATGGAAGTGTGCATAGAGAGCTGGGTCAGCTTGGACAGGAGGGGGTTTGGAATAATGGTGTTGAAGGCTGAACTTAAGTCTCTAGTTTGTCCAGGTGTTGCAGGATGTAGTGCTGTCCCATGTTTTCTGCATCATTCATGGACATGTTTGTTCAATAAGTAAACTGAGGGTGTCTAACAAAGGTCCAGTGATGTCATTCAGGTGGTTCAACACCAGGCTCTCGAATGACTTCATGACCACAGACTTTAAAGCAACAGGTCAAGTCACCATTATATATATATATATGTATGCATGGCGCTTTAGGCAATACAGATTGCGTCAAAGCAGTTTTACAGTTTAAACAGGAAAATAATGTTTCAATGATACAAACAAAATTCAGTTCTGTTGTGCAGCAGCTCTGAAAAGAGGACAATATTAAATAGTCAATTTTTCAGTTTGTCAGTTCACTGTTGATTCAGTTCAGTTTAATAACTGTAATCAGCTCAGTTCTCACAGTAGTGTCTATGCAATCAAGTTAATAATATTACCAAATTTTAAGTGTCCCCAACTAAGCAAGCCAAAAGGTGACAGTGGTAAGGAATTACTATCTGTGGATAGAGCATTTAAAGCAGTAAGGGATGTTGCACAGCTCCAGTGATCTGTTGAAGATCTGGGTGAAGATGGCTAACAGCTGGTCTGCATAGTCAGGTGGGTGAGACATTGGCTACATTTATACTTGGCATTACAATCACCGTGATTCAATCAAGCAGATCAAATCATTAGCATCAGGACACTGTGTGTATATATTTGTTCACATCAAGAACCT